TCAATTCCATTTATCGTGTACTTCTATTTTAAGCTCAAATGTATTTCAATTGTTGCTTTGCTTTTTTTTACTTATTCCATTATCTACCTTTTATTTCGTTTCCGTTTTCTATTTTTATTCCGCGACACATGGATATTTTGGTGTATCTTGTTCTATGTAATTCACGTTTCTGTATTTCTATTTCATTTTTATCCTATTTTTCATCTTTGTTTTATCCTTTTTCTTTTTCAAAATGAATTTCTCTCAATCGTCTGTTATTACTTTCTACTTCGATTCTTCTTTTTGTTTTCGCATTATATTCGCTTGTCTCACTTTGATTTATTCTTATGTTTCGTCAACTATAACGTCCCAGTTCTCTTTATTTCGTTTATTATTTCAGATTATTACGTTGAACCATAATCCTAATTCTAATTAAACAATTGAGGTAATATTTTTTAAGAATCTTATTCCAAAATGCCAAGATGCGAAGACGATAAACATTTGCAGACAATGAAAAATAACATTTAACATCCGTCCAAGAAAGAAAAATTACTTATAATTCCTGAACTCGATAGGTTGATGATCTCATTTATAATTCGGTCGACAAGAGCTTAAGAGCGACTAACGCAAAGTCGTAAATCGATGCATCACGGTGATGAATAATTTTTACTCCATCGTAATTTAACCGATACTTTAAAGGAAAACAATCTATCTTTTTTTAATTAACGGGCTGAGATTAGAATAGCTTAACAATGACAATTGGAAGCTTTTAAATTGTAGCCGTGATCACGAATACAATATGAGGTAATTTTACTGAAAAAAATGAAGCGTCTCGACCTAACGACTAGTTGCTTGACGAAACATTGATATAACGAGTAGATATAATAAGTAGATTCGGAGTACTCCGTTTCTTTATTTCGTAATGAGCAAGATAAAAAAAAAAAAAGGCTTACGTTTGGAAAGAAGATGTAGATGTGATCAAAAACGTTGCACAACTCGTGATTGAAAGCTAACGAAGCTTTTAGCCGTTTTATTTTTTTATTCGATTATCTAATTTAATTACCTCTATCCCAGTTACTTTTAATTATAAATCTTGGATCGCGTGTCGAAAGATTTTGTTGCTTTATAGAGATTCTGTTTTTTTAAGTGAAAAGATTTAACCAAACACATAAATTTTTTTAAATTATACGTTGTTAATATATTAATACATTTGTATTTGCTTTGAAGACATGTTTGTGTCTTGAAGAATCGACCTTCCAAAGATGTCTCGCGAATATATTAACACGTACAGTATATACGTTCACAGTATATAAGTTATAAATAGTCTTAACAAGAATAACAGAAATAATCTCTTATGGAAAAATCTGATATTTACTTATTAGCCTTTCTAATAATAGAATGTTACAATTAATACAAAGTTTTCCTTTTCTTCTTCTTCTTCTTCTTCTTTTTTTTTTTTTAACTTATAATTCAACAATGTGAATAATAATTCAAATGTCAATTTGGTTTTTGAATTATAACCATATAAATTACACATAGTTATTGAATTGCTGGTAAATATTGGTAATTACCGCTTTAATTTATCATCATTGCGTACCTATCATTAACTCAGCGAAAGCGTTGATTACTAATTATTACCTTCAAAAAGGTATATTTAAAGCAAACAAGAAATCTTAATGAAAAAATAATCGTTTATGTAATATATAAATATAAAAACGTAGATCCCTGTCAGAATGCAAAATGTATCCAACAAAATCAGTGAAATTCGTTTAGTTCCCTTTGTACAGTAATTATTGCAATTCAAGAGATGCAACGAATAAAACTTGCAACCAATAATAAACGAAATTTATACTTATCGCGTTCACAATCAGCGAGATAATCACTGCGTCTGTTAATGTAATAATAATTCCAATTAGCATGTTTAAAGTAGCAGTCTTATAACGAGAACTCTGACCCCTTTCCAAGAAAGAGTTAAAATTAGAGAAGATTAATAGAAGCTTAATAGAATTAAAAGCTAACTATGCAGATAGAAGAAGGAAAATTTTGTACAAAATTCATTTTGTAAATTCATACGTATTTAATAAATTCCACGCGTTCCTCGATTATATTAGAAATGTAATATTAATGATATAATAATAACCTATACTTATTTATTGTTAAATCAATTTTTATCGATAATTTAATAAATATATATTACGCAATATCTTTCTGTGAATATGTACTTCTCCTTTGTCTCTTTCCGCTGTTGTACAATTAATCAGTCTAAGTAAATATTCTTCTAGTAATAATAATTAAGATATTCCAACGTATCCAAATAACTTGCTCAAATCGATTCATTGATATCACAATCATTTATTATTTCAACAATATCGTTACTATCCTATATTGCAATTATACCGATATTAAAAAAAAAATCTTCTATACGTTATATCATCGATAAAATTAGAGTACTTACCTCAAATATAATATGTCTATTATACACGTCGAATCACTTTTAATTTATTCGATTTCACAGTTTCCAAGGTAAACGTTTTTCAGAGAAAGATAAAAAACACCAATCATTGTTCATTGTCGACAAGTTTCTATCAAACGCATCACACGCAGGAAATCGAGCCAGTCCCAGATATCCACGTCGACCGTGTGCCTATTCACGTTTCCGCCGGAACTACGGCATTTCGGGTGCCATTAATTACGCCCATTGAGGCATCGCATCTCCAACGTCCCTTTCTCACGCGTCTCTCGTACAGTGTCACGATCTAGACCTTGGATCTTTGCTCGATATTATCGCGTTATTATTAATCGAGTTATAGATACTCGATTAGCGCGCTATAATCGATCGTTCGTTCTTTTATATTCGAGTAAAAAACTGCAAATATGTTATAAAAAAAATGGAGGATCGGTTAATTAACTCCTTTATCGATGTTACGTAACGATAAACAGGTTACATTCGTTTCCAGGTGACAAGTTCTAAGACCGATTTTGCGTTTGACACCTGGATCTGGGATTATCAAGTTATAGTCGCTATAGTCGTTGGATATAGGTAGTGGTGGAGGATTTCGCGAGGTGAAAACTGTCTTTTCCATAGCGTGGCAGGTGGTTTGAGGTGGCAGTGTTCCGGATGAACTGTGCCAGACACGTCGGATGACGAGAAATTAGATTGTTCGGGGATAGAATATTTGCGGTTAGACTTACGGTAAACGGGGTAAGCGATAAGCTGAACTTGAGGGAATTCATTTGGGACAGGAGCACAAGTTACTTTGAACGGAGTATGGTCTGTAATTGAGCAACTACAGGTGGCGCTGTGTTCCAATTATTGCGTTAGGTTATTGTCTGTCCACGACTCGTCTCCTCTGATAAAGTATATCCAAGCAAAACTGAAATTTAACCGTTTAAATCAATTTACATTTTCGCGAATTTTACCGATAATTTTATTTGTCTATACGATACGTAAATAAAGAATCGAAATTGTTGACTATAAAATTCTTGAAAATTTTTGTTATTTAGTAAATGAAAACCATTTACTAAAGTTCTAATTGTGTAAAAATATACTCGTATAAATTTCAAAAAAGCGAATAAATTAATTTCGCGTCGATTCCTCGCAAAGGTTAAACACGATACATCAAATGTGCACAGAAAAGAAACGAATTCTCCGTCTGCAGCATAATTCTAGTTCTTGAAACGTAACATCTAGCAGATCGGGTCATTGGCTGTTTGCATTTTACTTGGAATATCTGAAAGCAAGACGTTTTTCGAGCAAGCTAAATATGCACACAACTTGTCTCACCCGGTGCTCCAGCTGTTTGTTTTAACGTTAAACTATATCCCGTCGCTCTGAACAGGAGGAACGTTTACGAGGAAAGTTTACTCACGCGCATTCGTCTATTGTACAGCCTCCAGCCATTTCTTTTCTTCCTTTTTCTTGCGTAGAATTCTCCTGAATAAAAAAAAGAAAGAAAAAATTAACGAACGTTCGTACGGAACAAAGCATAAAAATTTCAGGTCGAAGAATATTTGAAGATTTTTTTTAAAATCGTACATTTTTGATAACGTTTTGCACGATTTTCGAACGAATCGATTTGACAGTCAATCCAAATAATTTGTTGTACAATTGTTCGAGAAACGACGAGAAAAAACTTAACGAAACCCGTATAACATCCATTTATTAATTCCATCTAGACACGATTTCATTTTCGCATGCATTTTACGCTCAATTTTCGCAAGAATCTCTTCAACAATTTTAATCTCGAAATCCACCAGATAAGGAAAAATCTCTCGACCGAATTCCTCGAAAATTTGCCGATCACGGGACACGAAATCTCCATAAGTCTGGGCTAAACCCATTGGACTTTGGACGAGCACAATGCACGTGGATACGCGAGTGAATCCATCTCTTCTCCGACGCCCGTCCTCCACCCCCGAGAATTCCAACACCGTGCTCGCGTCCGACTACCTCGAACAGACTTCACCCTGAACCATTTGCCGGCGCGCGTAACATGGTCACAGGCGGTTCGTGTTGGAATGGAAGTCAGTGAGCCATCGGACGAGGACGTGGACCGATCGATAGGCAGGCTCACCACGACTTCCGGCATCGACCGCCTCTCGCAGTCGCTCAACTCGAGCGTCCACGACGCGTTTCCCGTTTCTGGGGACATTTATCAACCGATCAACGTCGTTTGGACGGGTATCAAGGGCGTGGTGATCATCGGTATCATCGTTACCGCGCTTATAGGGAACGCTTTGGTGATCGCGAGCGTGAGAAGGCACCGGAAGCTACGCGTGCCGACCAATCGTTACGTGGTGAGCCTGGCGGCCGCCGATTTCCTCGTCGCGGTCTGCGCCATGTCCTTCAACGCTTCTGTCGAGCTGAGCGGTCGATGGATGTTCGGCAGGATCATGTGCGACGTGTGGTGCTCGTTGGACGTGTACTTCTCCACAGCCTCGATCCTGCATCTGTGCTGCATCAGCGTGGACAGATATTACGCGATCGTCAGGCCGTTGGAGTATCCAGCGATCATGAAGAGGCTCACTGTCACCTGTATGCTGGCCAGCGCGTGGCTGCTCCCAGCTTTCATCAGTTTCATTCCCATTTTCATGGGGTGGTACGCCACGGACGAGCATCTGAAACAGTTGGACAATGATTCTCAGGTAGAGAGGTTGGAACGATTTAAGAGAGTATTGTTGCTCGGGGAGAACGACTTCTCTTGTCGTTTATTTTGTGGCTACGTACGTTTAATTATTCTCGTTAAAGCATTTTTATTTGGGATTGCTTGTTGCGAAAGTTGTGGCATCGTTCGTGCCAATTTCCCAATTTCATCGATTTAATTAGAGAGAAAGAAGATCGAAGAAGATTTTTCTCGAGGTTCTTTTTTTTTTTTTTTTTTTTTTTTT